CCCAGGAGCCACAAGTACATGGCTGTAAATTAAAGGAGACCAACACTTAACGAGAAGAAAAAGAAAGTTGCGCTAAAGGACGCAGAGCAATGCATTATGCTTTCTGTGGCCTGTTTTAAGTGGGACAGAGCGGGTGGAGTGTCCAGCTGAACTGAAGACATAGTGTTTTTAGATGTCTAGTGCTGATCAACTGCTCTTTGTATGTTTGATTACTTGAGGTAATAATACAGCATAGGACTTCCCCAGCTGGGCAGGACATGCTTTCAGCCACCAGTGAAACGGGGATGTATTTTGCCTGTTTTTAAGCAGTTTCCTTTTCCTGCCCAACAGTCTTATCTAAACAGATCACGCTGCTCTTACAGCCTAAAATGCAGCTCATGCTGTCTTGAAAACTTTCCCTGAGAGCATCTGTTCGGTGAAGCTATGATAAACTGACGATCCCTTGGCAATTTCTTTTCTGGTAGATGTAAATTACTCTCAGCTTCCTTCCTGTACAGAGAATGATGGAGCAGTAACTACTAGGCCTGTTTAATAGAGTTAATCCAAAGATAATTTGTGCTTTCCTTACACAGAAGCAGCTGCTGCCATTTTTTATAGAGTTAAAATTCGCTTCAGTTTTAGTATCTGATTTTGGCCCCCTCTTAGATTCCACTTCCAGAGAAATATTTTATGTAGGCAATTCAAAGTCTTCACCTTTTATGACAGAATAGCTCTAGGGAGAAAGAGAAATGGCTTGCAGAAAGGCTAGCAAAAAAACCAAAAAACCGATACTCCTCATACAAATCACAAGCACTGATTTCCTTCAAAAACAGAAGCTTTTTCCTTCTGAAAAAAGATATGAAAGGCTGCATACAAAGAGGTGCAAAAAGACAGACATGCATAATTATTCTTTTGCACAATTATGAATGATGCTTCACATTCTTTGGTACCATCTAGTTTTGTACATCCCCCTTCCTCCCCCTTTGCTTTATAGCACTTGCCATACCAAAGAGAAAAGACAAGACTTGCTGAAAATCCCAAAGTCAATTAGACACAACGCAAAAGCTTCAGCAAGAACGGAACGTGCTGCCCAGTTTTCTCTTGGTATTTTTCATAGGGAACAGATGACATTTATTTTGTATCGTGCCATCTTTCTTGTTTATGGAGTACACTGTTTAAAAGTATCAGGAAGATATTTTTCAGCTTAAAGGATGATCTTCCTCATAATCAAGCTATAGGATACACCATGGTGTAGGGGTTGCCATGGTTGCCATATGGTTGCCTGTTCAAACCCTAAACCTCACAAACCTTGCGGTGCATCAGACATCAGGTGGGAGAAGCCTTGCACTTGCCTTTGTGTTGTGCTTTGGTGATACAGAATCCATTAGTTCAGGATTCGACCCCATCTATGAATAGGGGTGAGAACAGGGATTCACATGAATATTGTATCGTCTCTCCTTACCTCATAGTAGCTCTGGACAGCGTTTATAAATGCTTCATCTGCCACAATCTGGGTTTCTCCATTGAGAAAGGCCTGGAAACGATCTTTGATTGTCTGGAGCTGCTGCTTGCTTATCTGCAAAACACGCAGGAGGAGAAAATTAGTCAAGAAAGGTTTATGTATGAAGAAAAAAACCCTACTAATTCTCCTGCAATATATTATCCGGGTGCTTATGACGTGCGTTTCCGCTCTCCTTCAGGGACAGCAGCAATAGATGAGGAATCAGCCACGTGTCGGCAAGTTCACTTAAGCATCACGAGCACCTAAGTCACCCCGAACACCTTTCTAAACAACTCTGCTGCCACAAAACACGCACAAGACTTTTACCACTTCAAGTATACCCAAGTCAAAAGCAAACTGCTGTGTGCATGCTTGGAAGAGGCTGTTTCAGTGCAATCTTTTCCCCACTGAGCCTCTCCTCCCCTTCAGGAGATGAGGTTTTAGCACCGAATGGGAAGCCTTGAGAGCTGGCTGTTGAAGACTGCGTTCATCAGCACAATGGGACCTTGGTCGTTCCTCATTTGGGTGGGTTTTTTTTTTTTGGGGGTGGGGGTGGGTTGGGTTTTTTTGTTTGTTTGGTTTGGTTTTTTTCCCCCCCATGCTCATTTCTTTTGGCTTGTCACATATAAAACACCAGTCCGGAGCAGTGGTGAAAGAATTTAATGCCAAACAAACCATATGAGGGCGAACCCGTTCTCCTTATCCTAGCAAAGACTTTCTCTGCTGTCTCTTTGCTGCTCAGAACAGTTTCTGTCCAGCATACATCTGGATGTAACTTAGAAAGACAACTCTAATTTTGGCACAAAGACATCAATAGAAAGTTTGCAAGGGTTTATGCTAGCCTTGTAAGATAACATGCCATTATTTTCCCAGTTTGTCTATCAGTTTAAAACCAGTCTAGCTAAAAGCCCCACCTCTTCAGCTTGTAGTGCAGCAGCAGGCACATAAGTCATGTACCAGCAATGCCAGCAGAACATCTTAGGATGCAAATAACACTGATTCTGAAGGGCTGGAGGGATTTAAATGTAGTTGTGCCTGGTTTACCACAGGGCTACTTCAGGTCTGAGGATAAGAATTAATTTAGACAAAAGAGAAACAAACTGTATATATGTATATATGACAACTTCAAACTTAAAGGGAAAAGAGAGCAGCAAGAATTAGGACAGCTCTTTACTAATGACCAAAAGGTGTAGAGTGCTTTTTTCTCACTTGTATGCCAGCAGAAGGAACCAGCCCATTAGAATGGAAGAGAAAAATAAAATTAATCGCTTTAAGTGTCTAAATAGCTTTGAATAAAGTATCAAAAACTACAGAGATCCAAACAACTAGAGCATAATGAAGCCTAGTAAACACAGCTAGTGATAAAAAGCAGGAGAGGGACCACTTGGAAAATGCAACGATAAATATCACTACATCTAGATGATGTGCCACGCGGGGTGTTTAGGAACTATGGTAACAAACATCATGAATACTGGTAATTAAGTCTGCAACACCACGCTAAGGAGGGTTAGCGAGCAATAGCAATTTGACACAATAATCTGGGATTAGTTTATGCTGGTGTTTATGGAGAGGTGCTCACCAAAGTCCCATAAAGCAAAACTCAATATGCTCTGCTTCAGAAACCATGGCACAGCCTTCGCCGCCCCTGTGGGTGCTGGAGAGACGGGTCACTCCCACCCCCAAACCAGCAGCCCAGATGTCACAGGGTCTGACACAGGCAACAAGGCTCAGCATCACAGGGCTGGAACAGGGACCATCCTTCTAACCTGACCCCCCTCAGCCTTGGGCACCAACCGCAACGAGCCCTGTGGAAAAGCACTGCCAAAAGCTCCTGGCTTCAAGGCTGGCAGGATCTAACTTTTGGCTCTAAGAGCCCATCTGCCATGTCAGGCACCTAAAACACTTTGTGGTGTTTGCCAGTAGCACCCCAGACCTCACGAGCCCTTGAGCAATATAGACAGCATCAGACCTACAGCAGGCTCCAAACCTATCTGAGCTGATGGAAGCTCCTGACGGAATTGTAAAGAAAACTAGGTCAGCAATATGAGTGGCCAGAGACAAGGCAGTGATCGAGTGGGAGACACCTGTGGGAAGGCACTTAGGTCTGTTTTTATTAAGTATCTGGAAGAAGAGAAAAGCAAGATGTTAATTCAATGTATTGACAATTTTGTGTTAGCAATGATTGTGAACGCCAGGCAGAAACGACAGGGCGATCAAGGCCATAAGAAACCAAGAAGAGAAACAGGAAAACTACAGGTAACATTGAAATCAGGGTGTTGAGGCACAAGGAAAGACATAGTAAGAGCACAGATACTCTGAGCCAAGAGGCTTTTTTCATTTTGGATTTTAACAATGTGTATGGTATTTTTGTTGGTTTTGTTTTTCCAGGTTATTTCTTAGGACAACCTCCAGAAGTCCTTGCTTGTTCAATTCCTATAATGCCATCTAGCAGCAGTAATTTTATGCTCCTTCCTCAATGTTGAACGGGCTACCTTCAAAATGAATGATGCTCCTTGAAATTCCTAGAAACTCCCAACACGCAGCTCACACGTGAGCTCCTGGGGGCTGTGGAAATGAATCATCAGATTTGTCTCTATTGGAGTGTCAGTTGCCTCCTCCTCTCCCCCAAGCTCTATGCAAGTATTTTCCCCTTCCAGGGAAAAGGAGATCCTCTGTGATCAGACCCGGCTCCAGCACAGCCCAGTCTCGGCTAATGGGACCCTTGGTCTTCCATCCCCGCCAGACCGTGGAGCAGCACTGGTGTATTGATCTGTGTCCGTGCCACTCTTACAGGCATTATCAAGAAAGCAGTCAACTTGAGCCAAAATTAAACTGCTTTCGTATTAAATTTAGCCTCTGCAGCACAGCAGCAGATGCCTGGTGCAGAAAGTCAGCACCAGCAAGGGAGCGGAGGGGACCAGACCTGCAGGTCAACAATATCCGCCCAACACACTTCACCTCCCATTTTATGCATCTCCCTCTCCCTGCCAGGCAGGGATGCCAAGGGCATCACCGTCGACCCCCAGAAGCACCCTCGGGCAGCGGGGAGGCAGCACCTCCCGGCAGAGGCTGGACCAGGGCAGGGGAGCAGCCTCAGCCCCAACGTCACGCTCCAAAGCTTCTAAGCAGGGCCAAGCAATGCCACCAGCCCAGCCACAGGCTTAAAAGAGCATGTGCCTTGAACACTCACCTGGAAGCTTAAGTCCTTTAAAGGCGCTATTTTATCTCTCACTATTAGAGGCACTGTCCTGGTTTCGGCTGGGGTAGTGTCAATTTTCTTCCTAGCAACTGGTATGGTGCTGTGTTTTGGATTAGGATGAGCATAAGGTTGATAACCCAGGGATGTTTTCATTATTGCTGGGCAGCGCTTACACAGCATCAAGGCCTTTGCTGCTCCTCACCCCACCCCACCAGCAAGAGGCTGGGGGGCACGTGAAGCTGGGAGGGGGCACAGCCAGGACAGCTGACCCCAACTGACCCCAAGGATGTCCCACACCATATGACACCATGCTCAGCATATAGAATGGGGGAAAAGCTGCCCAGGAACTGGCTGGGCATCAGTCAGCAATAGTGAGCAACTGCATTGTGCATCACTTGTTTTGTATATTCTTTTACCATTACTGTTACTTTCCCTTTCTTTTCTGTCCTATTAAATTTTCTTCATCTCCGCCCATGAGTTTTTTTTTTTGTTTGGTTGGGTTTTTTTCCAATTCTCTCCCCCATCCCACTGTGGAGAGGAGAGCAAACGGCTGTGTGGTGTTTAGCTGCCTGTCAGGTTAAACCACAACAAGCACCAGTGATCAGCTAGAAATTCATATAAAGCAAGCCAGCAGCTTCTGCAGATCCAGTAAGACCACTAAGGGGCCAATAAAAGCCACTTCTCACTTTGTTACCTTCCATAGCGTGCTTACAAATAGCGAAAAACAGCAGAATTACTTCTCTTTCAAAGTGCATCAGTACAATATCGCAGCCTTTGCACCAGCTATGGCAGGAGGTGAAACCCAGTTGGACTGCAAGCCCAGGGGGCGTGGGGCTGGTGGGGGACAGAGCCTCCCTACCCCTGATGCAAACACAAATCCAGGTGCCGTCGCACAGGAGAGAATTGGAGAGCTGGGAGTGAGCAGGAGTACCGTGGTGGGTGGAAGAAGTTTATTCTATTTGCCTTCCCTCGCTTTTCCAGCTCCCACTGCTTTTCCCCACAACTGCTTTCAGCGTGTGACAGCCGTTAAAGAAATAACAGTCGTTCCTGCATTCGGCAGAGATCGCAGAACACCCTGCGTTGCATACAGTGACTCTGGACCCAAGCGAGCTCTCCCACATTAACGCTGGGGTGTGTTTATGCAGCCGAGCGTTTCACAGCCTTTATCTGTCCAAAGCATGTGAGTACTTAAGTTGCCAGATATACACATGCATATTAATTTAATTAATTGAGTCAGTGATGATGAACTTCTGGCACGGATATCAGGCAGGGCACCCATAGAGCTTTGGGCTGGCATCCCTAGGTTGGTTTTTTTTTTGTTTTTTTTTTGTTTTTTTTTTTTATAAGAAACTTGGCAGAGGTCTTCTCCATAACAGACTAAATTATGGGGAAGAGCTTACCAGTGACTAGATCTGGGCATCCAAACGCTTCCTAACTTCTTGGTCTAACTTTAAGAGAAACTGCATGCCCAGCACAATCTGGTGACCTCAGAAACGGGGTGGAACGATCTCTGGCACATGCCATGTCCCCACCATGGCCACAAGCAAGTCACAGAGGCAACTTCTTGAATTTGCTTGAGGCAGATTTCAGCAAAGGGTATGCCAGCCTCCTCGGGACAAGCATTCAGCAGCAGCTTTCCTGCTACATGTTATTTTTGCACATAGTCCATCTGACTCAGAGATGAATGCAAACCTGAACACACGGAGCCGTGGCACCTACTCCAGAGTTGTTCCAGCCAGCGAACAGCTGGCACCATCTCTGCACATCATCTCCAGCCTCCTTCGCCTACGCTGGGGGAGCACGAGAACTGAAAAGAGGAGCTGTTTGCCACAGAAAAGTTCCCTGAAAAAAAGTTACACACGGCAGCAAGCCTCAC